ACTTACTAGCTATGTGACCCTAATCAAGTTTCTTAACCTCTCTCTGCTTCAGTTTCCTCAGCTGTAGAATGGTGACAATAATAATAATAATAATAATAACACTTACAGGGTTGTTGGGATGATGAAATGAGATAATATTTGTACAGCCTGACACATAGTAGGCATTATATGAATGCTAGCTATTATGAATGTTATTGTCTGTTGTTATTGCTATTATTATTTAGCTGACCCACAAGAGGGAAGCAGGGGGAGATGAGGACTAGGTATAGAAAATGTGGAAATATTAATAATTCTGCTTATATTTGTCAAGGAATTTAAGATTAAACTATTAGTAACAATAGAAGTTGTAGATTATTTTTGTTGCTTATAATGACATAAGCCTTCCTCATTCTCAGGCATCCATTTGGGTAGTCAAAACTCCCATACAAATCGATTAATTAGAAATCAGCTTCAATTGAACCAGCACACGTGAACAGTATACACCTCATACCAGAGCTGAGATAATAATGTTATAGCCCAAGACACACACACACACACACACACACACACACACACACACACACGCACGCACACACCACACACACACTGTAAGACATAAAAAATTGTCCTAGCAGTAAAAGGTTATTTTTAGAGCAACATATCTGTGTGTTAGAGATAAAGACTGGACTTATGATTTGATTGTAAGCTCCTTGAGAACAGGTCTTATGTAATACCTATTTTTACCCCCTGTGCAGCGTACAGCTTCAGAGCACAGTGTTTTACATGTACTTCAATGCTTCTTTAATAATTCCACTAGTGTAAGCACTCCTTTTATTTCTTTTTATACTGCCCCTGTCCTTACATAAAGTATTTACATAAGGCGACTATTTTTGTTGAATTAAATTAAATTAGTATCCTTTACAGGAAAAGAGATAGGTATTGGACTTCTGATTTCATTTGAATGTGTAACTCCTAGATGATGAAACTCCCTCCCCAATAAGGTTGACATCTTTCCTGAAATTCATAGTCAATATTACACTGTTGCCTAAAGCACAGCTGCTATGTGTCAGAGGTAGGATTCGAACCCAGGTGTTCCTGACTTCAAGGTCAGCTCTCAATCCACTATGTCACATTGCCTTACAGGGTCAAGCCAATAAAAATGAAGTTGGTAAAATTTGTCATTGGCACCCTTCTTTGATTTCGGTATGACCTTGTCACCTTGGAGTACAACAGAGCAAATCTACCAATCTCAGTTAAAGTTGTTATCTTAATGATCTGATTCTGAGTGTATTAGGAAGGCTCTTTGCTTAGAAAAAAAAAATTATCTCCCTTATACTTCTGGGAATGCCAACTGAAAACCCAAAGGAATACATCTCTAACGGCAAAATTTCTGGCACTCTAGATATCATTTGGGGATACAACTTTGGAAGATGAGATTTTTTTTCTATGGCTTTACAATCATATCACACTTGTTTTTTCAAGACAGCTGGGCTCGGCCCCTTTACAAATTATTTAATTGGGTTATTACTTGTGGGTCGATTATGAAGGATAGTCATCGGTTAACTTAAGGACTGTTCTGTGCTTTGATCAATCTGCTATGACAAGGAAATTACGATGGGTTGGGCTTATCAGGAAAAGTTAAAAAAATGCAATTCATATACATTTATAAAATTCAAGCATGACTTTTTTACTAACAGGCATAAGTGGTTTTATAAACTAAGGAGACCTCCAGTTCAAACAAATGATTGCAGTTGATAATTGAAATGTAAACATTATTCTAATTAATGAATTCGCCAATAGCTTTTCCACATTTTTAGACAATAGCAAAAGTTTGGTCTTTAACCAAGAGAAGAGTTCAGATAGCAAATCACAATATTTGAGAGCAATTGCCAATTCATCCATCCATCCAGTCATCCATTTGTTTACTTGACAAGAAGTCATTAAGCAGCTACTTGATGTGAAACTCTATTGCTAGTACCTGGGGAAAATGTAAAGTTTAGGGGCAATAAGGTTCCTGCCCTCAAGGAGCTTTTAACCTCCTAGAGGGATAAGACAGGAATACTTGCTACCTAGGGCTATGGGGGAAAGGAGGTGCTATTCAAATAACTTTTACAAGTTCTTCAAACTCCTGGGGGAAAAAAGCTTTTGTGTTGGTTCTAAGCAAGATTTATTTACTATGCCTTAACCTTAATGAACTGGGCATTGGATGCGGTTCCAGTAGCAGAGCAACCAGAGCTTTGTCCCAGGGCACCAATATTGAGAGTACACTCACGGTACTTATACTACTTGTGAAATTTAGATGATTGATTGTTGATTGAGTAACAGTGAAGAGTTTTAGTAATCCCTGTAATCAATTTCTAGGGCTTAAATTTGGATTTATTTTGTATAGTCCTTGGTAGAAAAGTTTGTGACTATGTACCCAACTGAAACTGGTCCTGCCTCTTTGGATGGATGATGATTCACTCTGGTCAGGAGATGTTTTTCCTAGGGATGAGTCTCTCCGATATAGGGGGCATATATGGTTGGGAACTTTGCAGGGGATGTTCAACTCTGCATTTTCCCTATGGCTATGGGTTTTGAAGGCCCACATTTTCAAGTCAGCACAATTATGGACCAATCACAGGTTTGGTTTAGTTGGCACTTAATTTAGTTGACATTATGTAGAATACTTATGTAACCAAACTGTATAAAAGCCTCTCTATCAAGTGTGTTTTTGGCCACTGAAGGACCCCTGACTTCTATTACTGGCAATTGTTAGCCTTGCTAATAAATAGATTATGCTCAAACTTTTGCACTTCATCTTCTTTTTAAGCCTAATTTTATGGCGACATATTTCAGCAACATTGATATGACCGGGACACCAGAAAAGCTTAAAACTTTCAGATTTAAGGGTTCATTTCATGCTACTTGACCTGGGTATGTTTGTTGGTTGGTTTATTTGTTTTGTTAGGTTTGACAATTGCTAATTATGACTCTTCCTGGTAGTATGTTGACCATTACATTGTATATAGAGCTGAAAGGAATACCATTTGTTACATGTGTATGAGATTCATAACAGAAAGTTAGAGACAGAAGAGGCTTCAGAGATTATCCAGTCCAGTAGTTGGAAACCTGAGACCTGAAGACTCTGGTAGTTTAGAAGTTATTGAAAGAGATGCCTGAGTTTAAATTTGCACCAAGCATTGTCATTTATTTAGTTCTAACAAATATTCTACATGTATCAGCATGATAAACAAGCAAGCCAACCTTCTGTGGATTCACTAAATATGTCTCCCATACAGACATATTACTATTTATCCAATATATGTATATGGAGGTGTGATTAATAAAATAAATAATTTAGTGCCAGTACAAATTGTGCCACTAAATTTCATTTAGGAGAAAACAAAAACAAACTGGAAGAAGAAAACCATTTTAGTTCAGTACAATTAATATTATGGATTGTTTGACAAGGATTTAGCATATATTCATCTATTTTACAGTTAGTTTAATTTTGAAGAAAGGTTGGGGGGTTTTTTGTGTGTGTATGTGTGCATGTGTTTTGGGGGGATGGTCTCTACTTCGTATTTTTAAAATGGTGTAGTTAAAATATGCTAACAATAGGGAAATACAGTCATCTTTTTCAGGAGGTAAAAAAGGAAACAATCAGACAATAAACATTAAATACCCACTATGAGTCAGGAACTCTGCTAAGCTACAGGAATACAAAAAAAAAACTGAACTAAAACCAAACCAAATAAAATTCTCAAGTAGCTCACAGCTTAATGGAGTAGCTCATAGTCTACCAAGTTAAAAGAGTTTGGAGATGGAAGAGAGTGGAGAAGGGCAGTTGCATACATGTAGGTGAAAAGGCTATAAGGCTATACCATGATTAGACAAACTACTTGGGCTCTGACAAGGTAAGAAGATTCCAAGACACCCTCCATAATTATTGACACTAACTAGTCTCAGATTTATGTGTTATGTTGGGGAGGGGTGGGCAGGGCAGTATCTTTGTAGTAAGTTTTGTCTTTCTGTTTGGCACTATATTCCCCACTATGCAACTTGACCTTGGTCCCCTAGCAAAAATGCGGGGGAATAATAAGATTTTTCTCTAGGGAGGATTCAGACTAGAGGAACTTAACATGACTACTGCTCTCAATTTAGTTTATTTTTTTTTTCTGTGACTGTCCTAGTATTATAAGGAAAGAGCCTTGGAAGTTACCAAGTTAAAGGGCCTCATTTTGCAAATGTGAAACCTGAGGCAGAGAACCTTAGTCCATGACAGAACCCAGCCCTCCTGACTCATTCATTCCAGGGGCTCTTTTTCACTACTCTAATGGCTTAACCATTTATTATACAGAAGAAAAAACAGAGGCCCACAGAGGTTGCTATTTTTCTGAGGTCACACAGCTAGTTAATGGACTTTCTTATCCTTTAAGATAATCCTGCATTTCATCGGATCACAGGATAATAGAGCATAGATTTAGACCTGGAGAGAACCTTACAGGCCATGTAGTCTAAAGTCTAACCCCCTCATTTTATAGTTCAGGAAACTGGAGCCCAGAGACATTGTGACTTGCCCAAGGTCATACATGCAGTAAGTGGCAGGAAATGGAACTTGAAAACAATGATTCCAAATCCATTAATTAAAAATAAAATAAAATAGCTACATTCTAAAATACAATGGGGGGGGGCTTATTTATTTATTTATTTTACAAAATAATGCTAGGATGACGTCAGGGAGTTGGCAACACTTTTCAGCCCCTGGCAACCTGGGACAGCGCCGACTGACTGCCCAACACATAAACCTGTCTGGTTCCCACTCGCTCCCCTCCCGTTCCCCAAATCTCCACTGCAGAGACAACCCCGCAAGAGACTGCTGCAGTCGCTCCAGCTTCCAATCCCCGGTGAGTGATCAGAGGGATGGAGAGACATTCAGAAGGGAGAGCCTGCTACAGCACCGCTGAACCCAGCATATAGGAGAGAGGGAGGGGCCAGAGGGGGCGGAGGGAGCAGCTTGGCCAGGGTGCAGCATTGGTTGCGGCTACCGCTGGTCAATCTCATCCCGGAGATTGTCCTGGGGCTGGGAAGAGACGCCTTTTTAAGAGAACCTGTGCCTTTACGGCCAGACCTCTGAGAAAGGAATGGAATAAGTGGGAGGTGGAGAAAAGGAAGGGTGGAAGAGAGGGGGGGGGAGAGGGAGAGGGAGAGAGAAGGTGAAGGACTATTCTAGAGGAAAGCAAAAGGGAATAGAGGCTGCACTTCCACTGATGCTGGAACGGGAGCGAGCCTAGTGCCGGGTAAGTATGAAGCTGGAGACTCGCCTTGCCTGGGCGCGGACTCGCCACCTTGGGGGGGAGGGGGGTGCGGCGCGGGGGCGGAGGAGGTCGGGGAAGCGGTCACAACCGCCTACTCTCCGGGAACCCATCTTCTTGTCCATAGCTCCTTCCCAGGAGTTCGAGCCTCACAGGTGGTTCAAATGTGGGAGACATTGGGTGGGGGTTGGGGGCTCTTCTCTCCCCCCAAAAAATAGTTGGCAAACTCTCTCCCGTCGCCAGATGTCTTCCGGACACCCAAAACAGAACCTCGATTATCCTCTACCCTCCTATGCACAAAACCCTAACACCCCAACCTCACCACTTCGGGAGATGGTGTAGCTAAGGTTATTAAAATCAAACCTAAGGAAAGCCGGCCAAAGCAGGAGACCCCAGTAAGAAGCAGCTGGCTACTTTGATAAAATACCTGACAAGCTAGTCAATTGCAGGCCGATTGGCAACCCACACTCACTCACTTCGCTGGTTCCGTCCCTGTGGGAAGAGTGAGGGACACAGCTGCTTTTGGAGAGGGCAATTGGAGGTTGGAGGAACAAACATTTAGCATCCTCCAACACAACACAACACAACACAACACACACACATCAGTTCCCAAAAGATTTGATCATAAAAATATAATGCTTGGTCGGGTCTCCAGTTCTTCATCTAGAATGGAGCTTGTTGGCTGGCTGTTTTTGTTTCTTTTTTGTTAGACTGACAAGGGAAAGTTTGAGACCCTGTCGGGCAAAGTTACAAAGTTGTGGTGAGGTCTGTGGCGCACTTTTGCGAGTGGGTGCAGCTCTCTGCACAGGAAAGAAAACAGAATAGTACACTGGAGAAAGGGATGGAGAGTGGGTTTGCAAAATACCTGGCCTGAGCTGGGATTGGGTGGAGTAGGAGCTGAGCCCTGAGATTTCAGATCAGTTCTGATGTGTCTGAAGCCTTAGCCCTTTGTGACTGCCAAGCCCTACCATCTAGAGTCAGTCCAGGAATATCCATGATTAATTGGGCTAATAATGGGGGTAGCAGCTCTATTTCCCTGATTTGTCTCAGCCTGCTCTGAAAACTTGAGTCCAGACTACTCTTAATGTTTAGGATGTCTTTGGCTCCCTTATACTTGAGGTATTCTCTATGGATGCCTCTAAAGTGAGATTGTTGATTTGGAGAAATATTCTTTTAAAGGGTGTTCGTTTTTAAGCTGCTTTGTCAAATAACTCTTAGATCTCCTGTTAAGTGAAAGCAATAGAAAATTTTGCTGTTATAGTTAATCTATGCTCAGTTGCACTTTGCAAACTGTATTTTTGCTAAATGTTTATGGAAATGAATGCAGAGCTTATCTAATCAAAATGTTTACAAAATGCAGATTTGACAACCAGTGGCAGTTAGCCTCCTTATGGAGTTGACTTTCATTTCAATCAGGCATCAAGGTTTGATTTTAAATCTTTTCTATTCTTCAGCAAGTCTGAAGATTACAAAATAAAAGCTTTCAGTGTAAGCATCTTTATTTGGTCATTAAATCTGGACACATTCCTCTAAACTTAATGTTTAAAAGGCATATTTTCTCATCCACAAAATATGCCTGATTTGATAAAGAAAATTCACATGCTATGAAAATTTGCGTTGTTGAATCAATGATCAACATCATCTCCAGCCCTACCCTCCCATATCTATTCAAATTTATTTATAAATAATGGGTAAGCTTTAGAAATTCTTGCTCTTGGATTGATTTGTTGTTGTGATTGCCCCTGAGTTCAGAATTGTTGGATGTGTGCAATCACATAACCACATAGTATAATATGAATAATTATTAGTAGTGCATTTTACCACTGTGGCACATTCTTACATAGTTTTCCATTTCTGGGAAGCTTCTCACTTGTGCTGCAATATTGGATGCTGAAAGATAAGAGAGAGGAGTAATTTATCTTTGAGAGATTTAAAAGGACGTGATTACTGATAGATCCACCTGATTTTTGTTGCTGGTTCCCATTTAATGTTATAATTAACCAGACATTACTGGAGATAATGAAAATCTTATTTTTTTTGCTTATGTCAATTGTGTAAGATTTATTTCATTTAGCATTTTATCATTTGTGCAGAATTGCTTTTTAAAAGTCAGTTGTTTATGTTTAATATTATTACTGTTAACTTATCATTTATATTCTTTTTAAAGCATAAATGAAGAGTGGTTTTCACATGAAATAAAAAAGCACTTGATTGTAGAAGAACATTGCAAGCACCATTTTTAACCCAAAAAATATCAGGAAAAAGTATGAAAGAGCAATCTGATTGATCCTCAAACCTGGAAACCACCATATCCACTGGAAGACACAGAATGGCCCTGCAACAAACCTTCACCACTAGATTTCTTGAAGAATGGTGCTTGGATAAATCACTGTCTGGCTGCAGGAAGCACCAGAATGTCTGGAAAAAACTGAGACAAATACGCATTGTAGGGCTCTTCATGGGCATAATGGCCATTTGCACGTTCTCACTTTCAACTAGTGCCTTTTTCAAGATAGAGACACACAGCACAGATCGGGCCAACAGTTTAGGTCATTCAGAATTAATGTCTGGATACCATCTAAGAACTCTGCTAGACTTAAAGGAGAAGGTTCAGGATGGTACTCCAGAGCCGCTTCCTGCAAAGTATGAAAATGCAACGGAACATCCTCAAGGAGACTACCCCAGAGACCTCTTTTCCCTTCAGGAGCGAAGAAGAGGTGCAATAATTCTCCATGTCCTCGGAATGATCTACATGTTCATTGCCTTAGCCATAGTCTGTGATGAATTCTTTGTTCCTTCTCTGACTGTCATCACTGAAAAGCTGGCCATTTCTGATGATGTAGCGGGGGCAACTTTCATGGCTGCCGGGGGCTCAGCTCCAGAACTTTTCACATCTCTGATAGGAGTCTTCATAGCTCATAGCAACGTTGGCATTGGCACAATTGTAGGCTCAGCAGTATTCAATATCCTGTTTGTTATTGGGATGTGTGCGTTGTTTTCAAGAGAGATCCTAAACCTTACCTGGTGGCCACTCTTTAGGGATGTCTCATTTTATATTGTTGACTTGATCATGCTTATAATTTTTTTTCTGGATAATCACATCACATGGTGGGAGAGCTTGTTGCTATTAACAGCTTATATTTGCTATGTGACTTTCATGAAGTTCAACGTTCAGGTGGAAGCATGGGTGAAGCAGCTGCTAAATAGAAACAAAGTTGTGAAAGTAACTGCAACCACATCAGCAGCAGCAGCAGAGAATGATGCAAAGGTTGGTTGTGCATTCTTTTTTCTCTTTTTTATTCACTTAGACCAATATTCTTTTGCAATTTCAAATCTGCCATTTGTGAAATTGTGGTAGAGTCATGGGTCATGGTAGATAATATGCAGTGCATCATGAATAACAAGTGAGCCAACATATCATTATATAACCTTCTGATCTGGACATTAGCCTCTCAGGTCACCCAGAGTTGCAGATGTGGAGGTGCCAGTAGAAAAATTGCACCCTCACATTCTGCCTCCCCTCCTTTCATGACCTTGTGGATGTGGCTATGGCAGATGCCCTTGAAAGACAGGGTCTGCACTAAGGGGTAGTGAATGGTGAGTAAGAGCTGAGCCAATAACCCAGTTGACAAAGTAGTTTCATGTAATAGTCTTGCAAGAGTATGATATGTTCTATGTAGTCATGAGCTAGCAGCTGTTATGACCTCAGATACTGGGAAACTAGAAATTACCCAACACAAACATAGGGTTATAAAAAAAAGTAGGTTCACATGGCTCATAAGGATGCAGCTGTCTAACACAAGACAAGGATATATATTGAATTTATGGCCAAATGTTCAACTTTATCCTATTCCATCATGGGGACAAATGCTGGAGTGGCAGCTGATGGAAAGCAGCTTACATCGAGTAAGGGATCCACCAGGTTTTGAGGAGGCAGAAAGCTTTGTATAGGGTCATGGGGTTACCAGGAACCATATCACCAACACAAAACCTTCCATTATATATGAAACAAAGAAACGTTTATGTTCTAGCTATCAGCATGGTACCATCTAGCAGCATTCTCTAATCGTGGCTTACAATACAATACTATTTGCTTCATAGCTTAGGACTTCCCCCCTTAAAATTCTTCCTGCCTCATAGGGCCTACTTAAGTACAGGTATGGCCTATTATGTATTTATCTATTGTGGTACATCTGGAAGACAACATGGACTCTAGAAGATCTGGGGTTTAAGGCTTGTCATTGACGTATATTGACTTTGTGACCATGACCATCCTGGTGTCCTAAGCAACTCTCTGAAAGTCTAAGTCCCAGAACAATTGCTTATCTACACTGGTAGAAAGAATCCCTTGCCCCACCCTCAATCCAGTTCTATAGACCAAGGAAATCACAGATCTGGACTAAAAAAATAATTGGATATATACTATACTTCATTTACAACATTCGTCTCAGAACAGAAAATGAAATATTTGTTAGTATTGATCATTTAGAAATCACTAGGACAATCTTAGCATCTGCCTTCTCTCTAGACATTTGAAGGAGTAGTGGTTATTAAGATTTTGTATGTAGTGTTTATGTCAAAATATTCATGTGAATAGCCTTTCAGATTGTAATGCAGTAGTGTGGGGGATTCATGGTGTGGAAATTCCCATCACCAATGTTGATCTCAACTGATCTATGGGTTAGTAGCTAAGCCTTAGGCAAGTTTTTTTTTTAGATACATAAAGGTCAAGAGACTTGACCAGAGTCACACAGCTAGTTAATGTCAGAGGTGAGTTTTTAACTCAAGTCATCCTGAATCCAATTCCAGCATTCTATTCTCTACATCAGCTTTATCCATTTTTTTTCTATCATATACCCTATCAGTAAAAAAAAAAAAAATGGGAATATACCCCCAATAGATGTAATTACTTACTTTTAAACTATATACATGTTCTACTTTCCTAATAGAAAACTTATACCAAAATAGTAATTTTAAAGATGACTTTTAATCATAGGCCAGTGACATGGGAGCAGGGAAGTGACATGGAGAGATTGGTATTTTAGGAAAATCCCTTTGTAGCTGTATGAAGGATGGATTGGAGAAGGGAAAGATTTATGGTAAGGAGACTGATTGAAGGCAGTTACAGCAGGCCAGGTGAAATGTGATGGGTACCTGGCCTTAACTGGTGGCTGGGATAGGAGAGAGAAGGGACAGGTGTGAGAAATGGTAAGGTAGAACCATTAAGATATGGCAATTGATTGGATGTGTGGGCTAAGGAAGAGTGGAGTCAAGGATAAAACTGAAGTTGTGAAGGTTACTGGAAAAATAGTGTTGGGGGCAGGGGTAGGCAGAGTAATCATATCTGAGATTCAGATTACAACACATCCATGCCTACACATCCTTTGCCGTTTACTAAGTACCACTCAAAATAAAAAGGGGTTAGGTAGAACTCTTACTCACCACTCACTGACCCAAAATGTAGATGCAGTGTTCCAAGGGTGCCTGCCAAAGCCATAAGGTATCTGAGGGCACAGGATAGGGATAGAATTTCACTAAAGGCACCTCCACAGCTGCTGCTGTTAGCTAGTAAGTCATAGATCAGTTGAGATCAACATGAAAAATGGGAATTTCCACACCATGAATGCCCTACACTACTGAATTATAATATGAAAGGCTATTCACAGGAATATTTTGGCATAAACATTACACACAAAATCTTTATAACCACTACTGCTTTAAATGTCTAGAGAGAAGTGAAATGTCCATAAAGACTAATGCCCAGTTTGAAAGGGTCAAGATCAGGAATTTGCACAACATATGTAGGAGATTGGTGGAGGACAAGGGTGTTTTTGCTGGAGTGATCATAGGGAGTGACTCAACTTTCCAGCCTCCAATTTGTTTCTCACACACCCACTGGGGTGAGTCCAGGCCTCTTGAGATAAGGCAATGGGTTCCCACTTTGCAGAACACTTCTCTATACCGTGATACCATTTGGCAGCCTAGTGGGAGGCATTTCAGCATAGTGGAAAAAGTGCTAAAGTTAAAATTAAAGTTGAAATTAATATTAAAGGTAAAACTATGGTTCCAATCTCACCTCTGCCACTTAGTAACTGTGTAATCATGAGCCAATCTCTTGACATCTCTGAGTCTGCTTGTCCTCCTCTGTAAAAATGGAAACACTAATAACTACATACCTGAGAGTTGTTATGAGAAATGGATGGACATTTCATATTTTTAGTGCAATTTTTAAGTTACATGAGAATTATCAAGAATTAGCTCTTTAAAAGGTGTTTTGGGAGAGCATTATACTTTTTATCAATAAGGCCACATCGCTGTACCTTTTGAGTAAGTCAACCATGGTATGATAGATTTGATAACAGTTTGGCACACAAGTCCTCTTGCCCTATGTAGATGAACTTCTATTGGGCTGGCTAGAAAGTAATCTGGATTCATAAAAACACATTGTAATCATTGAACTGTGCTCGAGGCTTCTGCTATTCAATGATTTGTTTGGATATTTTATAATAAATATGTCCTAAAATATAATACTGTATTTTATTAACATGGGTCAGGCAATTTCTCATATTTTAATGGTCAGTCTGACCTGCAGGCAGAAAGGGATTGCGGAACAGGTAAACATAGTACAGGAAAAGTAAATTTATGAAATTATTTTGCTACAGAATTACATTTTATGTACTGAAATGTGGTTATGGAGATTTAGAGACCAACACAAATATATTGAGGCTGGTTTTAAACAGAGAAGCAAATACATATGCAGAGTTGTCATACCAGCATCTGGGTGAATTTTTATGTATACATAAACAAATGTTAGCATAAGGGTGGGATTTTATCACAAAGAAAATAATAAGAATATTTTATTGAATTTACATAAGTCCTTGCCAGTAAAATATAACAACCACTTTTGCAGATGTCACAAAATGGTGGTGAAGAACAGAAATGACACTGATGATAATTTTCTTTTCCTGAAGTGATCACATGTATTTGACAGGCCCCAGTTTGTATGTATAATGAAGCCTGTGAAATGGTCATGTTAATTCTAATTTGCACTGTATGTTTCCATTGAATCAGAATCAATGACCATATTTCATATAGTCATAATTTTGAAATGTGTGAATTCAAATACATGTGATCACTTCAAGAAGTTCATTATTCACACTAGTCAGAATCTTCTTGCTATCAAAATCTGTTTCTCTTCAGAAAGAGATTATAACCTGAGTAGACACATGTATTGTTTCATTTGACCTTCACAAGGGCTTTGTGAGGGAGGTAAAGTTTTGCCATCTTCATATTAGAGGTAAAGCACTCAGAGGCAAGTGACTTAGCTAAATTCACAAGCTAGTGAGTAATACAGCTCAGACTAGAAACACTACAGTGTATAACCCATAAATATTGTGTCATAATCAGTCATTTCACAAGTATTCATTTTTAGCATATTTGACTCCCAACAAAATGGTAGTTTTGGTGATTTGCATTAACAGGCAGGGAGCAGAGAGAGACAGAGAGAGACAGAGAGAGACAGAGACAGAGATCACAAAGCATGAGAAAATTGTAATGGTTAGTGATTGAGTGTGTGGAATGAGTACCCCTCACATCATGGAGGTGATCATAAATCACCTATGAATGGTTCTTCTTGATATGGGTACTCCTTCCAGTGGTGCAGATTACAATAAGGACTGTAGTATTTTGTATTCTCTGCATCTTACAGTCAATCATGTGACCATAAAGATGTCATCTCTCATAGAACATCATTTTTGAAAGCTTGGGTGATCCCTTCATCAAGGATACCCACAATACATGTATAGGTAGTCCATAAAGTTACATTGATATAGAAATGAGAAAGTTGCTATATGGGTCAGTAGTTACTGATATTTTCTTGATTACCTTATTTTTCCATACTAATGATCTTTTCCAATCATTTCCAATCCCTTCTCTCAGATAGTTTGATCCTTTGGTGTCCTGAAAAGCCTCTCAATCTCTAGTATGGATCTCCTCTGTATATATCTAGTGTAGTCTAGTATCATTTTTTCCTCATGTGACACATTGGAGACAGTGATGTTAAAGTTCAAATGTGGTAGTTTCACTGTCAATAAAGGAAAGAATAGTTTATTCTAATACCCAGGCAGCTAGGTGGACCTAGTCAGGAAGAATGAGTTCAAATCCAACTCTCAGACACTTACTAGCTATGTAACCTTGGGCAAGCCACTGAGCTTCTATCTGCCACCGTTTCCCCATTTGTAAAATGGGGATAATAATAGCACCCAGAGT